AAAAAAAAAGAAAAAGAAAAAAGAAAAAGCACTGGCTGTTCTGCCTGAGGACCCAGGTTCAATTCCCAGCTCCAACATGATGACTCACAACCATCTGTAATCTCAGTCTGGGGACCTGACTGCCTCCTCTGGCAGTGAACGCACATAATGCACAGCAGACATATACCCAAAAGAAAAAGAAATGGTAACACACCATTGTGTTCAATTCTCCAGAGAAGCATTGACAGGGTTAGTGGTTAGTGGATTCAGTTAGAACCACTTGTGAGATGGGCCTGTAGGCATGCCTGCGGGGCATTGTCGGCAGAACCCCCCACCCCCAGTGTGTCCTGGATCATATGAAGTGGAAGAAAGTGCTGAGCACCAGCAAGCATTTATCCCCTGCTCCTTGACTGTGGCTGGTTGTGACCAGCTTCAGCACAAGCTCCTGCCCCCTGGACTTCTGTCGTCATGGACTACCTTAAACTGGGTGCCAAATACACTCTTTCTTCTTCCTTTGCTTTTGTCAGGATATTTTAATGACAGCAGCCGGAGAAGATGCTAAGATGAGGAACCAAGCTTGGCATTAGATGGTTTGACAAAGTGACTGTCAAACTCTTCATAGCTATGGTCTGAAGGACGGAAAGGACTCAGTCAGAGATTAGACACTCCAGAAATCACTTTCTAAGACTGATTGATTGATTTGTGTTTGTGTGTGCACGGTTGCCCTGGAGTCTAGAAGAGGGCACTGGGTCCCTGGAAGCTGGACGAGTTTCAGGCTGCTGTGACATGCCACTGTGAGTCCTGGGAACCAAACCTCAGTTCTCCGCAGGAGCAGCAGGCGCTTTTCTGATGAGCCAGGTCTCCAGCCCACTTTCAAACTCATAAACCCCATACAGCTAAGATAAAAATTGAAATCAATTGCAGGAGGGATGACATTCAGAAAATTGTAGGTTTTTAGTTTTCTCTGTTTCATAACATTTTAATACAGTAAATACATCTTGTTACCTTTTATAGAACAGCATAAATAGAAACCAACTTTTAAAGGCCTGTTTTTTTTTTTTTTCTTCACGGTATTACGGTAAAGCATGAGAAGATGTAAGAAGGCAGAGTAGAGTGAATTGCCGTGTGCCTGTCAGCTAAGTACAGCATTTCTCTGTCAGCTTCTTAAGACCAAGACACCCGCTTCTATAGCCATCACTCTACTCTCGGGTCTAGCAAAAGCTTTCTCAACATACCCAGGGGAGAAAAAAAGCTTCACTAACTTCTCCCCAGTATCAGCCGCTGATGACTTTTTTCCAGGTGTGCTACATGTACAATATACTTTATATGTGAAAGGCTGATTTCTTTGTTTTATTGATTTTGATTTTGTTTTTCCACACAGGGTTTCTCTATGTAGTCCTTGATGTCCTGGAACTTGCTCTGTAGACCAGGCTGGCCTTGAACTCAGAGATCTGCCTGCCTCTGCCTCTGAGTGCTGGGATTAAAGGCGTGTGCATGGTCCAGCTTGATAGGTTGATTTTTTTTAAGTTGCTTCAGAGATGGTTTCAAAAACAACTTTTTGTACTAAAAACACTCAGCGTTCCAGATGAAGCTCCATTATTGAACTTATAAAAGCATATATTTGAAATGCGATTTTCAAATTCAGCGTACTGACATTCTAGTTTATTAGCCTTTAAGCTACACAACTCGACTCCTTCGCCTAGAGACACCACCACACAGACAGCCAAGGAAACCAATGAGTATCTGACTGAGCCCAAACAGGAGCTCGAGGATTCCGACGAGCAGGAGACTCAGAAATACGGAGAAGTGGAAAATCCTGTGTCTGTCTTCTTCAGAGTTAGAGCTGGGAACGCTCCAGTTATTGACTATGTCACTGGCGGTGGTGTTTTTAGTAGCAGGAGAAACACAAGATTTTTCGAAGAACCACTGGAGATCGAAGGATTCAGGCTGGAAGTTACTGGGGGGAAAGGAGAAGGGTTAAATGCCTATGAACAAAAAGACCCAGTATGGTAAGACCCAGTGTACATTTTTAAAGACTGTATACAGAAACCATAGCTAAAGGTCTGGTTTTCTGAGCACATAAGCATAGCCCCAACTTTAAAACCCCACTTAGCGCACATTGTATCATTCCCCGGAGAACACCTGGTCTTAAGGAGAGCCACATAAGATTGGAGGGCAAAGAAATATCAACTGTGTCGGGTATTTGTGATTTTTGTGAATTTTTTTGTTTGTTTGCTTTGTTTTTCGAGACATGGTTTCTCTGTAGCTTTGGAGTCTGTCCTAGAACTAGCTCCATAGACCAGGCTGACCTTGAACTCACAGAGATCCGCCTGCCTCGGTCTCCGGAGTTGGGATTAAAGGCTCCGGAGTTGGGATTTGCAAAAGGTAGGAAAGCAATCTCTCTCCCTCTCTCTCTCTCTCTCTCTCTCTCTCTCTCTCTCTCTCTCTCTCACGCGCACACACACACACACACACACATACACACACCCACACACAACACTCGGTTTTCACCTACATCTGCTCTGAGGTCAGACGGATGGTTTTTATTCGCAATATTTCAGATAGGTCTGATTAAAATGATAGATGGCCCTTCTAACATAAAATGAGAAGTGTTCAGTCCTAACACATCTGTTTCAGGATGATTTTGTTTTGTTTTTTGTTTACCAGAGTAAAATGGAATAGATTCCCAACAACTGACTTTGGACCTGAGAAAATAACAGTATTTGCAGCACATGGCCTATGAGACTGCATTTGCCTGAGACTAGGATTGCCCTATTGTGTAGGCCTCCGCAGCTAGACTAGAAGGGACTGAGTGCCACTGTCCTCAAAGCTTGGACTGTGACCCACTATATTGATAGGCTGTTGTCGTTCCTTGATGGTTAAATGTGTTCAGTAGCTGTGGTTGGGAGTCAAAGTTGTCCTTACTAGTAAAGGAATTTCTTTGAATTTTGTTTAGTTTATAATAACTGCTATATAAATTTTGAGAGTTTTTTTAAGTAGGTAATAGGTAAAAACAGTTATTTCATAAAAGTAGAAAAGTTAAATCTGGTGGATTTCCCAAACTAAATGTCTAATTAAAGGTAGCTAATGAATTAAATTTGTCTGCCTGCTTATGCAAATTATGCCAAAATTCAGCCATAGAATTGTCTCAATGGACCATGTATATGTAACTTCTAATGTAAGGTGTTGTTACATGACAAATATTTTTATGTCTGTCTATAAGTACCTAGCATGAGCACAGGTATCTACTAGCTGCTGTTTCTTGTGTTTTACTCATGTTTTAAGTTTCAGAAGGGAAGGGCTGGAATGGTGCTCCCATGGATGAGCACTTGCTGGGAAAGCCTAAGAACCGGAGTTCGAATCCCAGTGTCCACACAGAAACCCAGAAGACAGTGGCCACCGGTAACCCCAGTACTGGGTAGGCAGAAACAAGGGACTCCCTGGAGCAGGCTGGCTAGCTGAATCATCAGGCCCCAGGCTCAGTGAGAGAGCCTGCCTTGGAAAACAAAGTGGAGAAAATCTGAGGACACGTGACATCTGTCATCAAGCTCTGGCCTCCACATGCGTTGGCACCCACCTGCACAGCGGTCCACACGCATACCAGGCATCGTAATTGCATGAGCGCCATATACAAAAAATGAAAGCATCTGTGGTTTACAAATTTAGTGGTTAATTAGGGACCAGTTGGATGGCTCAGATGTTTAGAGCACATTCTGTCCTTCCAGAGGACCCAACACCAACCAGGGGCATCTTACAGCTACCAACTGCCCATGACTCTGATTCTACAGGGATCCATCACCTGTGGGCCTCCATCGATACCTTATTTACAAACACACACAATAATAATAATGAGAAAATAATAATAATAGTTAGGGCCTGAGGAGATGGTTCAGCAATTAAGAGCTCTGTTGCTCTCCTAGAGGACCTGGGTCTAGATGTCACCTTCCACATACTAGTTCAAACCAGTCTTAATTCCGGTTCTAGGTACAGTGCCCTCTTCTGGTCCCTTTGGGTACTACACATGTGATGCTCTTGCATATAGGCAAAACAACTCATGCATAAAATTTAAATTTTAAAAAAGTGCAGACATGTGGAGAGTAAATGTTCCCCTCACACATGGCTATTCCCAAGGATCTAAATTAAGTAAATATTCACAGAGCTTTTAAGAGACATACACATATAATCATGAATTTTTACACAACAAGTATAAGCCCCCTGAGATCAACTAGACCATTTAGAAGAGATCATACCCAGAGCATTCGGGTCGTGCAGCCCCTCCACTTCCTTATGAGATGTCACCCATTTGTATTAATTTACCAAGTCCTTAGGAATGTTTGAGAAGTCGGGACGGAGAAAAGCCTAGCATTGTGCATCATAGCTACCTGCAGCTCTATGAGACAATGCGACAAAATGCTACTCACCTTAAGTTTCTCAACGAAAACTCACAAGAGACAGTACTGTTGGCTTGAGAGTTACAAATGAGGGGACCTTCCGCGAGAGCCTGGAGTGACACCAGCATGCAGTACACAGCCCCGATGATTGTGATGACGCTCAAGAGCGATGAGAGGAACATCTGGAAAACAAAGCCCATGTTGTCATACGTCCTTGCCCTCTCAAGTCGGTCTGTGCTCCTAGAGTCTTTATATGCGCGTGGTGCTTGTACATGTTTGAGTGGGTGTGTTCTGCACATGCCTGTGTGTTCATGGGGGGAGGGTGAACGAGATTGATGTTGGGTGTTCTCCCTTACCACATCATTCTCCACCTTATTTTTGAGACAGAGTCTCTCACTGAACCTGGAGCTCAACCATTTTGCTAGGCTAGCCAGCCAGTGAGCTTCCACGCCGACCTTTCTGCCCCTCTCATGCTGGGGGTGCCCCTGTACCCAGCCTTCAGGTGAGTCCTAGGGATCCAAACTCAGATCCTCAGGCTCGTATGTCAGACTAAAACTTTACTGAGGGAGCCATCTCCCTAGCCCCGTGTCGTCCTGAGTCTTGAGGCTGCAGTTTGATTAGGTGTGGATTTATGAAGGGGAGGGGCAGAGATCAAAGTCTGCCGCTGAATTACAGTTGCCAAGAGGTGATTACACTTACCAATGTCTCTGGAAAAATCTCAAGTTCCTTCCCCTGGGTTTTTATATTCCCTCTGCTCACCGGAAGCTGGCTCCTCCTTCCTCCTATAGAGCTCTAACCACATTGAGCCCTCTGCTGGGTCCTAGCCACCTAAATTAATTCCTGGGCTCTTGGCTCCCGATGCTGTAAGTGGCCAGTGGCCACCATCCTTAACCTATCTGTCAGCAGGGCTACTCAGCTGTGCACAGCCAAGTGGGCATTTTGCCGGGGGGGGGCTCTTCAAGGTGGGGTGAAATGCATCAGCATCCCTGGTCTCCACCCAGCATAGGCCAGTATCACTTCATCCTCCCAGTCCCGCACGACGACTATAAAAGCTGTCTCAACAACACCACGTGACCCTTTGGGATACGGGTGGAGGGTCTAAATCTGCCCACAGTTGAAAATACCGTGGTGGGAACGTTTGCGCCTTTCGTGAATCTGGGTCACACAGAGTGTGGAATTTGGTGTAAAAAAAATAATGTTGAATGTGTTTCCTTCTAAAAAAAAAAAAACAAACTAATTTTTATGTTTCACAAAGTTGTTAGTGAATACGATTATTTCAAAGTCAAACCTGAAGCAAGAGGAGACTTTCCTTCCCTGATGGGAAACTCTTAGCTTCTGATCATCGTGTGCTTCAGACCCCCGAGGACCAGGCAGGTATGTGGAAGGGCATAGGACCACGCGTGCGCTACCTGATGCAATCCTTTGAGCAACCCTAAGATATCTATCAGTATTCTCATTTGGGGGAAGAGAAAACTAGAAAGGAGGAGATTGACAGCTTTTTAGGAAACCTGTCTAGGAAATACTGGTGCCCAGGTCCTTGTCACTTAGCATCCTTAGCTGAAAGCACACAGTAAGGGGAGTTAGGATCAACTGTAAGTCCTGATTCTCCAATGCTATTGAGACTTGTGCAAGCTACCAGATTTACTCCTCGAGAAGTGCCTGTTATCTCTGACTGGCCACTATGCGGGAACCTTGCTACACAGTTTCAAAGTGAGGAGTCTTCAAGTGATTGAGAAAAATCATCATATTGAGAAAGAAAAGGGGAAGGAAGCAAAGATCTCTTAAATAGGAGGAAGTAACAGGAACAACTGGAAGAAAGTCCTGGTGTCCCCTGCCAAGAAGGGAGGAGAATGTCATGGCACCTTGGTCTCATCTAGACCCAGAAGGTACCAACTGTAACTTGATTGAACCCCTGACTGCCAGCAAGTGAACGCATTGCTAAGGACATTAACATAAACAGGCGATCACTGTTTAAGTGACCAGGACCATCGCTAACAGCATCAGCAATGGTACAGAATGCCTCGTGCCCCGACCCCCAGCAGCCCTTGCAGATGGCCCGTGGTTTTGCTGAAGCATGACTGAACTGGATACAACTCAGATTAGTGTGAACAAAACGACCTCCTAACTTAAAGCTAGTGTCTACATGAAAAGTGGCTCCATTGAGGAAGGGAGAGATGGCTCAGTGGGATGAGCACATACTACTCTTCGGAGGGCCCAAGTTCAGTTCCAGCATCCGCTATCTCACATCCTGTGACTCCAGGTCCAGGGGATCTAACACACTCTTCTGACCTCCTCAGGCAGGGCCCTCACGGTGCATATTCACAGAGACATAATTGAAAAATAACAAAAAGCTTGGCTCTCCCAACCTGCTTGTGTCCTTGAAAGAAACAGAATTTAACCAACCATTTAAAAGACTTTTTTTTTTTTAATGAAAGTACGTGCAAAAATGTTAATAGAAATTTGGGTTAAGAACAAGTCATGTGCTGGTTACTTTTCGAGTTCAAAGAATCAGAAGTAAATCAAGACATCGTGAGAATTTGTGAGTATACACAGAAGTGAGGTCGATCTACACTAAGATATGGTGTTTTAGGAACAAAAGTGACAGGGAGTAGAAACCAAAGCCTAACACAGAATACTTGCAAAGTAGCAGGAACAAAGTCAGACTGAAAATACCATAGTTGAAGTGATTATTATAATCCTAGAAAAACAGAGAATGCCAGGAGGTGGGGGGGGTGAGAGAAAGAGAGAGAGAGAGAGAGAGAGAGAGAGAGAGAGAGAGAGAGAGAGAGAGAGAGAGACTCAGTAATTGAAAGTGATTGCTTTTCTTTCAGAGGCCCCAAATTCAATGCCCGGCACCTATGTTTCAGCTCAACCTCTGTAATTGTACTGCAGTTCTAGGAGATCCCACACCTTTTCTGGCCTCCACAGGCAGGGGCATAAGTGCAGGCAATACACACACATGCATAAAATAATTTTTAAAGACGTTATAACACAACCCATGTTGTCTGCGACATTGTCTGCTTTAGGACAGTGGCTCTTCCCCAAATCACCCGGTGCTTCTGAAGATTGACACGTGCAAACTCTTGGGATCCACTCGGGTGCTCTCAAGTTTGAAATTTCCCTAGATCTGTGTGTGTTCTCATCTGAATGGGAACTATGGATTTAAAGCCTTTCTGCCAATCTCAGCCCCATGCAGTGGGTATAGGTGCTTGTCATTGGTCTGCCCCTGCCTTGAAGAATTAGAACCCAGTGTCCTGTTCATGGTATAAATAGTGTAAGGGCTGAAATTGGTGGTCTGGTGGGTTTAGATTAGAAAAATATTCACTGTGCTACCCTGGTGAATTATTTCCTTTTTTCTTCTTTCTGATCATCTGTGTCTTGATCAACAATGAGATCTCGCAGGCATGATGGCACACACCTTTAATCTCAGCAATTAGGAGACAGAGGCAGGTGCATCTCTGCAACCCAGTCTACATAGGGAGTTCCAGGACAGCCAGGACTGTATAGAATCTGTCTTAAAAAAAATTTCTCCATCAATTAATTGTTAATTAAAATAAACTAAGACCTGACCAGTGCCCACATTAGGGTTTTGAGGGATTAAATATGGTAGGTATTAAATGTTTGGAATATAATTGATGTCCCCTTTAAGAACAAATATTCTGAAGTAAGAGCAACAAACCTAGCAAACGAACCTTTCCATGTGCAGTAATAACCTGAGGGTGCGTTTGCCCTGAGTAGTTTATTCACTACTCAAACAAGCGTGGTAGTGTTAGGAAATTGACCACAGTTCTGGATGTGACAGAAATCCTCATTTAAAGAAGAACTTCCAATTCTTCAGGTGAACTGAAGGTTGAGGAAAGGACCAAAGGCTAGTTCCAAAGCGAGATGTCTTTGTTGTTGTTGCTTGTTTGTTTGTTTGTTGGGGGGGGGTCTTTGAGTAACAGCTCTGGCTGCCCTGGAACTAGCTGTGTAGACCAGGCTGGCCTCGACCTCACAGAGATCCACCTGCCTCTGCCTCCCAAATGCTGGGATTAAAAGCTTGTGCCACCACTGCCTGGTTCAAAGCTAAATCTCTAGGAGAAAAAAAATGCTGTCTTCTCAAACTTTATATGACTATTTAACAAACTCCAACAACATTTGTCCAAGACTGAGGCCCAGCAGATGCTGATGGCTCGGATGCCTTAGGCTGTTAATGTACTTCAGCTTCCAAGCCCATTGCCTGTTACTCACCCCTGTCTTGTTATTGCAGCATGCTCTTTTTCTGGAGGCCAACGACATTGTTGTTGCTGGGATGGCCTGGAAAGAACGTTAAAGGAAAGATGAGTGCTATCGCTTCTTACCTGATGAAAACCCATCATCAGCACCTTCCATGGGCTGCCCCTTGGGAGAATTCAGGGCTCTGGAGAACAAAAGAGAAAATCTGGCAAGATCCTTGTGTTGTGAACCTTATCACCGGTCGGTAAAGATCGAAAGGATGAGAGCTGAGATAGTAGCTATGAAGCTTTCTGGCTCCTGTTTACTCAGAGGTGGCTGTAGTTTCCTGGATTTTAATTAGAGCAGAATGGCTTATTGATGCATGAGTCTTAGAGGGATTGGTTCTGTCACCCCAGTCTTACCTTGTCATCCTCTCTTCCTACTCCGCTTTTCTTTCTCTCCCCTGTTAGATCTCCCCTCCCTCTTTTCCTTGAGTTACTATAACCTCCAGCCATATCTAATTCCCCATAAATTAAACAAGTCAATTGGGGAAGAAAGAAATTGACAGTTTGTTTACCTGGCGTTTGGCAGGGTCCAATTCACCGTCGCTCCCACGAGCCTCCCTTTCTACTCCCCTGGCCTCCGGCATCTTGCTAGTCTCCTCCAGCTTATGTGTGAGAATGACAGCTGGTCCCACCTGCTCTTTTCTGCTCCTGCATCCTTAGTATGTGCTGATTTTTGCTGTACACTGATGTTTAGAACTCTTTGGGTTTTTTGTTTGTTTGTTTCTTTGTTTGAGACAAGATCTTACTATGTAGTCCTGGCTGGCCTGGAACTAACTCACTGTGTAGACCAGGCTGGCCTTGAATTTCCTTCCTAGTGCTGGGAATAAAGACAGGCAAAAGTTGCATTCTGTACAAATGAGGAGCGCTGTACAATAGTTTTTGATTTTTAAAAAGAATTAGGCATCAGCTATGACCGGAAGCTCTTGGCGAGGAGTTTTGCATCATCAAGGGACAGAATGTTGGTTGCTTCCTTTCGCTTGTGAATTTTTAGCTCTCACTGAAGGTGTTTGCCAGCTCAGCTCGGCTACCCTGGACTGGTTCCCCTACTGTCTGCTTTGCTAGCATGGCCAGGCTCTGTAACTACATAGCCGACGCTATTAGAACTGAATGTGTTCTGGTTTGTGTCACCCCCATAACCGTCCTCTGATGTAGCGCGAATGTTCGTCCTATCTCCCTCCCCCATTTTGCCACTGTCAAAACAGGTGGAGCAAGTTTGAGGAACACGCCTAAGAAAGTTGGAGTGTTCAGAGCCAAAGCCAGACTCTTGGCCACTGCCCCACATCAGTGGATCCTTAAAATTCATAAAGCCCCATTCTGGCCCCCAGAACCCCACCACCCTTGCTCATGGCACGCTCCTTCTAATGGTCCCTTCCCCCACTTTCTTCCAATGTCACATCCACCTCTGTATTTTCTAGAACACAGATTTATGCCTCTCACAAGGCAGCTTTCCCAACACATGTCACCCCATCTTATCCTGTGCTGACTCCATGTCCTTTGGGTTGTTGCCAGGCTTTGCTTACACATTGAATACTGATGCCTTTCCAATTCTGAAGTCACGCATACATATGGCGCCCCAACCGCCCTTTGCATAGCTAAGAGCCCAGAAGAAAAGGAAGAAGAAATCTCTGTCAGCATTTATACGTTCTGCTTTTTTTGTTGTTCCAGAAGACACTGCTTTCTGATCTTACATAACAAATCATGTAGAACAGGAACTGGTGAACATGCATTCCTCACCCCTGTCGCTTTATTTTATAAATAAAGGTTTTTTGGAACCCTATTCATTTGCATATTATCTGTAGACTTGCATAAAAACGATAGGGTGCATAGTTGGTGATTCCTGAGCATATTTAAATACATGCTTTTTTGTGAAATTCAGTCTTGCTTTTCCTGTTTGTGTAAGTAATTACTATTCATCTTCTTGGCAGGAGCCCATGCTTTCTACCAGTTTTAGAAATGGTACTGTTTCATCAAGGAGGTGCACAAGATCCATAGACAGTTAGGAAACTGTGATAGAAGCCAAGCTTTGGGGAATCCTATAGGCTCTTGAACATGAAGGCAACATGCAAGGCAAAGGCACAGCTCAGCATGAACACAGAAGCTCTGCTTGGCAAAGGCTCTGCATGCAATCTCATCTGTTTGACTTGCCGTCATCTGCTCTCCACTAAGGTTCTAATAACTGACTGACAAATTACCCTGATGTAATGAGTAATGTCAATAAAAAGAATGATTAAGGCCCAGCTTATAATTAACTCTATATAAAGTAAAAGGGTTTTTCTGTTTATATTTCTCAAGGAACATTTTTAAATGGTTTTAATGCTTGATCACGTAACATTTATATTGACATCCCCTCCCTTAGTAATAATAATGTTAAGGATAATTAACTACATGATGCTTTACTTGGTTATAGTTTCAAAAGATAAAAAGGTTCGCCTCTGAGTTGGGTTGGTTCTAAAACCATAAATGACTTCATAAAGTAATCAGTAATGAGTCCAAGAGTTTCTATCATATGCAATTTCCTGTATAATCCCCCGTTTCTGAAGTGATCCTAATTTGAAATGGAGCACTCTCCATAGGATTTAAGGACTATGACTGTATTCTCAGCACACTTAGTCAGTTCTTTCTTACAAACTTCCCTGCAGAAGCCAGAATCATGAGAGACATCACAAAGGACATACCTCCCACTACAAAGATGTACTTCCTCTTTCTGTGTGCAGGCCAGGATCACGAAAATATGCTTGCCTTCGGAGCGCTGCTGTCCCCAACCTGTTTGCTTGTGGGCTAACTTCTAACCTGAGGGTCTCCCTATGGGGAGCAGCCGATGTTTACATGCATTCGATACTTTAATGGTCTCTGGTGAATATTTATCGGGGAAAGCAAGGTCTACTCAACTGTGGTCCAAGGAGTCCAGATTCTTGGGAAGCCTTTTGCAGGTGTGTAACCTTTTCTGTGATTCAGCTTCCTGATCTTCTTACTTTATGGGTTTTTACCTTTGACCCCTTTGGGCCTGGGACAGGGACTGAGGCTGATGGTGTTTAACTGGCTTTGGCATTAGATAAATCTAGAACTGGACTTCACACCCACTGTGTGACCTTGTGAATGTTCTCAGCCTTCTGTTCTCTGGTCTGAAAAAAAGAAGAGATACCTGCAGCTCAGATGGTCGTGGGGCTGAAACTAGACAGCGTGGTACCTAGTGCTCTTTAATACTTGTAGCAAATCTTTAAAATATCCTCTCTTGTGTTTGAGCAGTACCAACTCATATCAGGAGAGAGCTGCGTTTCCCCACACAGCTTAGCTCAGCTGGGACACAGCTGGAAGCTTTGCAGGCATGGCTCCGATGCTCTTGGCTGCCTTCTGATTCTGTTTACACCAGGTGCAGAGGAGGCCAGCCCTGCTCAATTCTGAGGAGCCCTTCTAGAAGACTGGATACAGGCCTGATACTTTGCCGTTGAAAAGACCTGGCACAGCAGTTTGAAGAAGTAGCCCAGATTTTGCAAAAATGCTTTTCCTGTGACTGTGTCTACCTGAAACAGATGGCTAGATCACACTTGTCGGCAAAGGAGAAGAAGCCATCAATCTGTGGAGAAGGTTTTTCAATGTCTTTGCAATGCCAGAAGTGTTCAAGTATATAAATATAAATATATGTAATATATAAAGTTTGATATAGTGTGGCCTTAGAGGTTTCGTTGCGCAGGATTTTTGTTTTGTTTTGGTTGGTGGGCAGTTTTGGATGTTTTTTTGGGTTGGCTGGTGGGGTTTTTTGAGACTCAGTGTCATACAGACAAAGTGACTTCAGATTTGTAATCCTCTCTCCTTGGTGGAAGAGCTTCACATGTATGGCACAGCCCTCAACTCTAAGACTGTCTTTATGTGAGCTTAAGAGAAGCCCAGTAACAAGAAACTGATCTTCACTAAAAATTGGTGACCCCCAAGTGGGAGAGAGGGCTCAGGCGTTATGAAAGACGCAAGCTTGGATCCCAGCACCCACATCCATCAGAAGGCTCACCACTGCCTGCAGCTGTCCGTACAACACATATATAAATAGATTGACTCAAAGCTGGGCATGTTTGTGCACTCATAAGCACCACAAGATCCTGGGGTGTGAGTAGAGGAGGAGAAAGAAAACATGAAGTAGGGAAGGCATAAAACACTTCCTCCAACAATTCGTGATCCAAGTAGAGAACCCCTTTTTCTTTTATGTTCTGAGTTTCTTTAAAAGTTAGTTCAATGTTTCATTATTTGCAAAATCCTAGTAATATCAACGATTACAGTTCTCTCTCTCTCTCTCTCTCTCTCTCTCTCTCTCTCTCTCTCTCTGAAGCTCATTTCTCTGGCACTGACTAGACCCACCATACAAATGATAGGACAAATGAAAGCAAGCTCCTAAGTGCTGAGTTGTCCATTTCAGCATCCCTGATCCCATCACACAGATACCAAAACAGAGCCCTGGGATACGTGACTTGATTGTGGTAATGTAGCAGAGACAGACATGCTGTCTTTCAGATTCTTCTAGATCAGAAGACTGGGTTCTACAAGTGGGTTCTACCCAGACCAGCTGCACCAGAATCCCTGGGAGAAAATGTAAATGAGACTCGGCCCTGCTGGGCTGGCTCCCTCCTGAGGACACGCACAGGTCCTTGCTGTACCACTGCTGCACCGCTCCGTACCAGATTTCAACAGAGAAGGTCCATTCACTGTCATCAAGCTCTAAAGCTTTCTATGGCATTCTGGAATCTATGTAATAGCTAAAGCAAAAAGTCTGTGTTTTCGATGGCTGTGATAAAACACCACGACCATGGACAAGCAGCTTCTAAAAGAGGCCCAGGATTTTGATCTGTGTGCCTTAGGCCGGCTCTCTTGAGAAGCAGGCCAAGCCTCACTGTGCTGCCTCCAAGACTGCCCATGTGTAGGAGTGCTTCTCATTCCCACTGCTGCTGCGTTCCCTATCAAAATGCCCAGAAATCAGAACGGGGCAAAGAAAAAGATGAGGCAATAAATTAAAAAGACGCCCCACAGAGCTAGGGGTGTAGCTTAGACTGGGTAGTGCCCTGAGTCCTATCCCCAGTACCACATAAAAGAAAGAAAAACATTGAAAAGAAAAAATCCTTACTATTAAATAAGAAAACTCAGAAGTGTCATCCTACCTGTGAAGAGATGCAGTGGGTACTAACCTTCCAACAACCTATTTTTGCTTTTGCCTTAAGGTCCCTAGGATGGACCACAGTTTTCTTTATGTAAATTGTCATTCTTCACAATATAAAGTATAAATCATTGATAACCTATTTTCCTAACTGTATCTTATAAAGACATAGTTGGCTGCAAGGTTGAAAGTCACACACAAAAGACATCGGTAAAAAACAGTTCACCCCCTCTCCAAGTCAAGTCAAGTAGCTATTACTCACCATCACGCCTGCTCCAATAATTCCCGGGAACCACCACTCATAGCAAGAGATGGGGTTTGGGGACGCCGAGTCGCCCTCCACTAAGCTCATACCCAGAGGTATACAATTAATAACCACTCCTAGAATGACCAGAATCATCAGGCTGAAGCCATTGCAGGATGTCCACCCCTCGCAGCACGTCATGGTTGTCCTGGTGCCGTTAAAAACGTCCTCCAACTGTCTGGGCTTGTGTAGCTGCCTGGCCTTTTATATCAATGTTCTGGTTAAAGTTTAGCACTTATGAAAAATGAGTTGCGAAAAACAGTTCAGAGTTCAGTCCGCCAGGATTTTATGAGGATTATGATGGGAACTAATAATCATTTTATATTATCATAGGATGAAGGAAAACAGGCAGAAAAAAATCTATGTTTGCTAAGTGGTGAATTTACACATGAATATAGGTGAGTCAAAACTGACAAAAATGAACTTGTTTGGCATAAGTCCTCTAAAATATTCCTTCTGAAATGCCTTATAAGATGTCAAAAGATAAGTATATCCAATTAGAATAAACTACGTTTCATATGTTGATATAATTATGTAGGAAGCATTCCTACTTTTGGAGTTATTCAGTAAGAATATGTATAAGATTAGGAAAAAACTTCTCTACAAGTATTCCTGATTATTCTAAACATTGGTATTCCGTTTGCGCTGTTTGACAACATACAACATTTTTGATGCTGTATAAAGTAGATAATCTGTACACGACCCACATATGACATCTGAGAAATCTGGCTGATATCCTTAGAAGAAAAGTGACCAAATATGGAAACCATGACAAAAGTAATGGGCAAGATGAGAGCAGAGATGATGGTGTCTGGCTTTATTCAAACCATGAACTGTGTACCGCAATTTCTCTTTCTAGACTTCGACTCCATGATCTCCTCTACTACCAGCTTGTGAGCCTGTCGTAGAGAGACTCAATCAGTTGAGAGAAGCTTCAGAGGCAAAAGTGCTTGTTCCCCCTGAGTAGCCGCAAGTCCCAGGGAGGCTGCACCGATGGTTGTCCCCAAGGGGCCCAGAGGAGCTGCAGCAGCATCTGGATCCAGGCTCCCACACGTACTGAGGCCATGTTTGAAGATGCAGTGATGGCCTCTGCTCTCATTATTACCGAAACTGGCCTGCTCTATTTCTGCAAGATGAGTCATTAGGCAACACCTGTGTACGAGTGGGTAGTAAAATTCAAATGAGTACATCCAGAAGAAACATGCAAACGTCAGCCAGCTCTAGCTATAAAACCCTCCTTCTATTCCCAGAACGCAGATTTCACAGATACTATTGGAGGCGGTGATGGACTACCGTGGTGGAGGCCACTGGATTTACGGCAGGCAGGGGGAAGAGAAAACATGTGGTTGGAGAGGAGGTGGCCCACTTGGTGGCTTTCTGAGTCTTGGTTTCTACCTTACAAAAAACGGCTATAGACTTGTCCTACCATCCTATAATAAAGTACCCTTTCCTACATTTTAGTGAGTTTCTAATTTTCTGCAAACAAAAGAGCTAAAAACAAAAGTTACTAAAGCCAGTTTTGGGTAAGTACCCTGTTTGGCACATGGTATGGCAAAACCATCAGGAGTCCAGATGTTCAGAAGAAAGTAGTTTATTCAAACGGGCTAGAAACCAGTGTTCCATCAGGTTCTGAAAATGGCTAAAATTTGACCAGAAAGTGGTGAGAAAAGCATTCTTACAATCCTGTCAGTTATACACACACACACACACACACACACACACACACACACACACACACGAAAATCGAAATTCTTCTGACTATGTTAAGTAAAAAGAGATGCTGTTGAGAGAGATTCTGCCTGGAAAACATGCTTTAAAAGGCCAAGAGTAAAGATTGGCAGCTTTGCGTGTCTGCAGGAAGCCTTCCCAGGACATGACGTCTCGACTATCAAAAGAGAGCTGCTACCTTTGCTGCCTTCGAAAAGGCAGAGAAATGGAACAGTCAAGTTCAAACATACTTTGGTTTCGGTGTGGGTTGGGAAACCACTGCACCCCACCACACTCTCCAGGTTGGCGACTGAACCCTGGAACCCTGACCTAACCACTATCATTTCAACTGCATCTTGAGGACTATAAAACTGCCATTGGAGCCATGAAACACAGACGATTCCATGTCCACCGTGTTCCTTTTCAACAGCAATAGACTGGAGCAAGAAGACAGCCTTTAGTCATTGCATATCCACTCTCCAGATGCAGAAGACCCTGGGGGAAAGTAACGTCTTTGGTGTACAGGAAGGACAACTAAAAAGACACAAAAACGGATAAGAAGCAAGAAAGTTCACCATCATGACCACAGCTATCTCATCTAGGTTATAACATCAGATCCTTTGAAAACAGTCTGAACCAACTTTATGCTTGTGAGTCTAGAATGATATGTAATCTTTTTAAAACATGTTAGGACTCTACAGCACCTACTGTCTTTTCTATTGTGGCTCTGAAGTTCTGCTCTGTGTAAAGGGGTCACATGGTGGCAAGCCAGGTCTTAACCAGGATTATTGACGTCAACCAGGAAACCTTCTGTTGACTCACTCTATGTCATTGTGTCTATTTGTTTGCATTGCCCTATTGTGTTCACTGTCAAACTTTGTCTACCTTTTTGTTGTTGTTGTTGTTATTGTTTTTATTTTTGTGATAGCATTTTTCTATGTGTAGCCTAGGCTGTCTTGAACAAATCTCTGTAGAACAAGCTGGCTTCAAACTCACAAAGATCTGCCTGCCTCTGACTCCCTAGGCTCTCGGATTAAAGTTCTGTGCCACTAGTGCCTGGATAACCTTTGTCTGTCTTATAACTTTCCTCTACCTCTACCTCTACCTCTACCTCTACCTCTACCTCTACCTCCACCTCTACCTCTACCTCTACCTCTACCTCTACCTAACAGGAGTTTGAAACCTGTGTTCCCAAAGCATCAGTTCCAACAGTCAGCAAGAAAATCAAACCAAAGACAGTGAAACACAACATTTTTCTACTGTTTTATTGATAAATTATATTGGGGAAGACAGGAACATTTTAAAGTTAAAACACATACAATATACAATCAATGTTAGAAGATGTGTAAGTACAGGTATTTCATCAAAGGCAAACATTTCAAAATAATAGAATAAAATCTTTCTTTTTCCTATTATTATTATTATTACTTTGGTTTTTAAGACAGAGTTTCTTAGTGTAACAATCCTGGCAGTCCTGGAAATGACTTTGTAGACCAGGCTGACCTTGAACTCAGAAACCCACCTGCCTTAGCCTACCAAGTGCTGGGATTAAAGGCATGAATGCATCACCACCTCCCAGCTTAGGATACATTCTTTCATTCACTTGAGATCATCAATGTGAAATTGCCTGACCTTCACAAATATTGTCCTACTTTCATTACAATGCAGATTATAATTGGTGGTGGAATTTTAAAATATGAACACATTATAATGCTCCCAGACTTCAAGCTATGTATGTGATGGGAGTATCAGGTATAGAGAGAAAATAAATCTTCAAAGGGTAAAGGTAGAAGGGCTATGAGTTCAGTTTTAAGAAATCAATAGATGCATCTGCTCTTAAAGTTGAAGAAGACTTTAGAGATTCTGAGCTCAACTTTATGATTTCATAGATAAATGAACATAATTCAGGGAGGCTGACATAATTATCCGTGATTTGGTGTCTCCATCAGAGCACAGACTTATTTCAATCTTCTTTCTCATGAGGTTTATTTCTATGAAGACTCACAACTTGATATGTATGTAAAATGGAAATGATTACACCTTAGTGTCTAATGCATGCATGTATGTGTGTGTATTATGTAATATATAAGTATATGAACCTGGATCCTCCCATCAGCTCCCCAGAGGCCAGCAGTCTTCCTAGCAACAGCACTGCTTCTTGCAGCCACACTTCTGCTGGCAGCAGCCACACTTCTGCTGGCAGCAGCCCTTCCCACAGCCACAGCCACAGCCACAGGAGCGGCAGCAGGTGCGGCGGTAGCAGCAGACCACAGGGGTGCAGCAGCCACAGCAGCCACAGCAGCGACCACAGCAGCCACAGCAGCCACCACAACCTCCACAGCTGCCACAGCCTCCACAGCCACCACAGCCTCCACAGCCTCCACAGCTACCACAGCCTCCACAGCCTCCGCAGCCTCCACAGCCTCCACAGCCGCCACAGCTACCACAGCCTCCACAGCCTCCGCAGCCTCCACATCCGCCACAGCCGCCACAGCCGCCACAACCACAACAACCCATGTTGTCAGTAGAGAGGTATCAGGTGCAGTGAGGAGAGAGACTCAGGAGAGGAGAGGGGGATGTGATGCCTTCTCCTGCTGGGGGAGGGGTTTATATACCTCTTTGGGAAAGCATAACCCAAGCATGTGACTTCTATTGTTTTTCTCAGCTTCCTCGAACAATTCTTCAGCACTCATGGCTTACTTCCTTCTTAGGGAATTTTAACCTCACAGACAGCTTATTTTTAGCCATAAATGTTTTTGTTTTGACAACATTTACAGTTGGGCTCTGGAAGAGTTTGTTTACATACTATTGTCTGCCCAACCAATGAGAGTCCCACTCTGAAGTTATTATTTGAACCTAGCGTGACTGGAATCGAGAGACCACCCATTCCCATGTGCTTAGCATGTCATCACTGATTTCTGCAGATGATGTCAAGAAACTCTTCTTGAGGACTTGCCAACCAGAGGTCACAAACATTTCCAGAGTCTACATGCAACTGACTGGCCTGTGCAGTAGCTGGGTTTGATCCCAGCAGAGCAAAGAATAAAGAGCCAAGGGCCTTTGTTTAAAAGCAATAATGAAAGACATCTTCAAAGTTAGCCGGAAGCAGAACTCCTCCATAATGCCACCATCTCCTGGAACTAACTGCTGCATTGTCTGCCATGTGACATCTAATTGTACAAATGAGACACATATCTAGCCCATGGTCCTGTGCCGCCTGACCATGTAAGCCGGTCTTCCCTTTGGTGTAGTGCCTTTCTATGAAATTATAAATGGGGCAGTGAAAATAGTAAGAAAAAAAACAGTATTAGAAGACCTTTGAATACAACCAAGAACAAGGTACAGGTAAATCTCCCCTGTAAGTGTAGCCCCACCCCTGCAGAAACATGCACTGCAGCCACAGTACCCCTGCAAGCAGGTCTTTCAATGCCCAGTGCTAAGCCCTGTCTTAGAG